GCGTGAACTCCGGTGGTCATCCTCGCAGCAGCAGCAGCAGCAGCTTTTTGTCTGCTGGAGATCAAATGAAGTCGAGATAGGCCGTTAAATGGTTATTGGTGGGAAGACGCTGTAGCTAGAGACGGTAACAAGTGGTTAATGAGAGACATCACGGGCGGTTACAGGATGCATAACGGCAAGGCGCTGTAGCTAGAGACGACAACACGTGGTTAATGAGAGACATCACGGGCGGTTAAAGGATGCCTGACGGCAAGGCGCTGTAGCTAGAGACGACATCAAGTGGTTAACAAGAGACATCACGGGCGGTTAAAAGATGCCTGACGGCAAGGCGCTGTAGCTAGAGACGACAACACGTGGTTAATGAGAGACATCACGGGTGGTTAAAGGATGCCTGACGGCAAGGCGCTGTAGCTAGAGACGGCAACAAGTGGTTAAAGAGAGACACCACGGGCGGTTACAGGATGCCTGACGGAGAGGCGCTGTAGCTAGAGACGACATCAAGTGGTTAACAAGAGACACCACGGGCGGTTAAAGGATGATTGACAGGAAGACGCTGTAGCTAGAGACGGCAACAAGTGGTTAATGAGAGACATCACGGGCGGTTACAGGATGCCTGACGGCAAGGCGCTGTAGCTAGAGACGGCAACAAGTGGTTAAAGAGAGACACCACGGGCGGTTACAGGATGCCTGATGGGAAGGCGCTGTCGCTAGAGACGACATCAAGTGGTTAGCAAGAGACACCACGGGCGGTTAAAAGATGCCTGACGGCAAGGCGCTGTCGCTAGAGACGGCAACAAGTGGTTAATGAGAGACACCACCGGCGGTTACAGGATGCCTGACGGCAAGGCGCTGTCGCTAGAGACGACAGCAAGTGGCTAATTGAGGGTGGGGAGGCAGATCTATGAAGAGGGGAGCGTCGGTCGACAGTAGGGGCGCTTGCCTGGAACAAACAATGACGAGGCGTGTGTGCGTAGCGGAGCAGGAGCTGCGTCCCGTCAAGAGTAGTGAAAACCCCTAAGCGCACTGCATACCTATCAATCCATGTGGTTTACCCCGTATTCTTGTGCGGGGAAATTTGAGTTAAATTTCGATTTAAAGCTTTCGTGACGGTGAGGATTCGTCTGCACGTAGAATGGAGATAAAAAAAAAAATAAACATAATAATAACAGGATAAAATGCTCGCGACGTTTCGGCCACAACAAAAGTAGCCTTCCTCAGGCGAAGAAACAGGACTGACCGGAAGACAGCGCTGCAATTGAGTTGTTAAGGTCTTTGTAGGATGGACATTGAGATTTATAAGGGGCACGGGCTGACCAACAAAGGTCTGAATTGGTCTGTAATAATGCGGGGACTGGGGAGGGGTTGTAAGGCATGAGACTTTGAGGCGGTCCATAAATGACGTCACGCCATTTTGGACGATTTTTGACCGCCCCCTACTTCGTCACGTGGCGTCACAAAAAGTCAGCCCCCCCCCCACCCTCAAATATGACGTCACAAAGCCCTGCCCCCCCCCCACCCACTTCCACCAAAATAAAACATAAGCTTCAAATCGATAAGGTAATTAAAGCTTTCGTGACTGCATTAAATTACTCATTGCTTTTTTTTTTCGGTAAAGTCACGTATGTAGACATTTTACGTAATTTTATTGTATCTCTACATAGGTGACTTTACCGGGGGAAAAAAAAAACCCAATGAATGCTTCAAATCGCTTTAAACTATTGTCACACTGTAGTTGCGTATTTAACGTGGCGCTGCACTCTGATGTTGTAGGAGAACACATTTTTTTAAAAGTCTAATTAAGTAGAACGTGCTGTGTCTATATCTATTTAAAGTTGCGCATTTCGACGTGACGTCACGTTTCTCAAACCCCTCCCCCCCCCTCTTCGTCACGCATCGTCACAAATGTGGAACCCCACCCAACCCCCCCCCCCGCCCCTAGGTGCGTGACGTCATTTATGTCTGGCCCCTGTTCGTATAAAGGTTTAACCTTCCTCTTCTTCGACACCTTCGATCGGAGCTTCTTTACACGCGGCTCGTGATAGTAAACAACAACAATAACAATAATAACCGACGACGACGAAGACGACAATGATAATGATGAATACCTGAGCCACACGAACTTGACCTTGATGACGTACGGCGCCACGGTGTGGATGACGAACGAGTACGCGACGGCGTGGCCGCTCGGCGTGTAGTCGGACGAAGCGATGGTGCCGCTGCCGTCGTAGAAGTGGACTACGTCTGCGGTGGGCGAGAGAGGGAGAGAGAGAGAGAGGGGGGGTCTTTCATTTTAAAAGGTGGGTGGGAGGGGTTTACATAAAGCAAAGCATGAAAAAAAACGAAATGATGAACGGAGCAAAGTGCCGACTACGCCGAGCATCTTCTTGTTTCCTCTGATCGTAAACAATAAAAAGAGAGAGGGGGGGGTAGAGAGAGAGAGAGAGGGGTAGAGAGAGGGGATAGAGAGAGAGAGGGGTAGAAGGAGAGAGAGGGGGTAGAGAGAGATGGGGTAGAGAGAGAGAGGTGCGAGAGAGAGAGGGGGTAGACAGAGAGAGGGGTAGAGAGAGAGGGGGTAGAGAGAGAGAGAGAGGGGGTAGAGAGAGAGAGAGAAAGGGGGGGTAGAGGGAGAGAGAGGGGGTAGAGAGAGAGGGGGTAGAGAGAGGGTAGAGAGAGAGGGGGTAGAGAGAGGGGGGTAGAGAGAGAGGGAGAGGTGGTAGAGAGAGAGAGAGGGGGTAGAGAGATGGGGTAGAGAGAATGTAGAGAGAGAGGTGGTAGAGAGAGAGGGGGTAGAGAGAGAGAGGGTAGAGAGAGGGGGTAGAGAGAGAGAGGTGGTAGAGAGAGAGAGGGGGTAGAGAGATGGGGTAGAGAGAGGGTGGAGAGAGAGAGAGAGGGGGTAGAGAGAGAGGGGGTAGAGAGAGAGAGAGGGGGTAGAGAGATGGGGTAGAGAGAGGGTAGAGAGAGAGGGGGTAGAGAGAGAGAGGGGGTAGAGAGAGGGGGTAGAGAGAGAGGGGGTAGAGAGAGAGGGGGTAGACAGAGAGAGGGTAGAGAGAGAGGGGGTAGAGAGAGAGGGGGTAGAGAGAGAGAGAGGGGGTAGAGAGAGGGGGTAGAGAGAGGGGGTAGAGAGAGAGGGGGTAGAGAGAGGGGGTAAAGAGAGAGGGTAGAGATAGAGAGGGGTAGAGAGAGAGAGAGGGGTAGAGAGAGAGGGGGTAGAGAGAGAGGGGGTAGAGAGAGGGGGTAGAGAGAGAGGGTAGAGAGAGAGGGGGTAGAGAGAGAGAGGGGGTAGAGAGAGGGGGTAGAGAGAGAGGGGGTAGAGAGAGAGAGAGAGGGGGTAGAGAGATGGGGTAGAGAGAGGGTAGAGAGAGAGGGGGTTGAGAGAGAGAGAGGGGGTAGAGAGAGAGAGGGGCTAGAGAGAGAGGGTAGAGAGAGAGAGGGGGTAGAGAGAGGGGGTAGAGAGAGGGGGTAGGGAGAGAGAGGGTAGAGAGAGAGGGTAGAGAGAGAGGGGGTAGAGAGAGAGGGGGGTAGAGAGAGAGGGGGGGTAGAGAGAGAGGGGGGTAAAGAGAGAGAGGGGGTAGAGAGAGGGGGTAGAGAGAGGGGGTAGGGAGAGAGAGGGTAGAGAGAGAGGGTAGAGAGAGAGAGGGGGTAGAGAGAGAGGGGGGGTAGAGAGAGAGAGGGGGTAGAGAGAGAGGGGGTAGAGAGAGAGGGGGGTAGAGAGAGAGGGGGGGTAGAGAGAGAGGGGGGGTAAAGAGAGAGAGGGGGGTAGAGAGAGGGGGTAGAGAGAGGGGGTAGGGAGAGAGAGGGTAGAGAGAGAGGGTAGAGAGAGAGAGGGGGTAGAGAGAGAGGGGGGGTAGAGAGAGAGAGGGGGTAGAGAGAGAGGGGGTAGAGAGAGGGGGTAGAGAGAGAGGGGGGTAGATAGAGAGAGGGGGTAGAGAGAGAGGGGGTTATAGAGAGAGGGGGTACATCCCCCCCCCATATTCAAATATGCTAAAAATGTCCCCCCCCCCAATATATTGCTATAAAATAGATTTCTGTTTATATGAATGTGGTTATGGTTGCTACTTTATTAATCCCTAATCTCTGCCATTACATACAATGAAATAAGAAAAAGTAAAAAAAAAGACAAAAACAGAGCAATGTAAATACAATAAACTTTTAGACATTATTGTGAAAAAAAGAATTCCATCCCATGTATTAGTGAATGTTTTGTTTAATATTTTAGGCAGGAAATTCGTTTTAATTTTTTCTGGGGGGGGGGGTGGGGGGGGGCGATTTCCCCCCCCCACCTCCACCCAATGTTGACTCCATGGCTACGGCCTTGGGTCTGCGACTGTGTGTCAGTACGTCTTGTGCCGGACGTACCGAGTGGCGCTGTTGTCGTCGTTATGGTCGTATCTGTGAAGCACAAACGTCGCATTAATCACCGCTCCCGTTCAATCATGGACGACGATTGCCAGTTTAACACCTCGTAGGAGGCCTTCGCGACCCACATTATCCATAGCAAAAAGCAGAACGTGAAGAGACAGTGTCATCTATCATCTGCAGAACGTGAAGAACCAGTGGCATCTCCTGTATACCAGGCCAAATAAAAACGTAAAAGAGTTGAGCTGAGTTCAGTCGAGCATGCGTGCGCTAAGGTATGCGGGCAAACATTTGGAACGGTATGACAACAGGTTCCATGCTCTTGGACAATAAGACAGTTGTGTTAAGACGTTAAAACAGCAAACATAATTTTTTCTTTTTGCAAGGAATCATGTTACTGAATGAACCGCGCACGGCACTTGTGGTGAACGTGCCAACAAAACAACACGCTCTGGGTCATTTTTGGCACTGCCTTTGAAACTGAATTGGACCACACCTGAGACAGGGTTCTTCCGGGCCTCGTCTCAACCAGTGGTAGACCAGAGAACGCCAAAAGGCGAACATGCACGAGAAAATTTAGAGCTGGGGGTGAGCAGCTACATCCTGCATGACAAAGACCCAAAACACACGGCCAAGGCAACAAAGGAGTGGCTCAAGAAGAAGCACATTAAGGTCCTGGGGTGGCCTAGCCAGTCTCCAGACCTTAATCCCATCGAAAATCTGTGGAGGGAGCTGAAGGTTCGAGTTGCCAAACGTCAGCCTCGAAACCTTAATGACTTGGAGAAGATCTGCAAAGAGGAGTGGGACTAAATCCCTCCTGAGATGTGTGCAAACCTGGTGACCAACTACAAGAAACGTCTGACCTCTGTGATTGCCAACAAGGGTTTTGCCACCAAGTACTAAGTCATGTTTTGCAGAGGGCTCAAATACTTATTTCCCTCACTAAAATGCAAATAAATTCATAACATTTTTGACATGCGTTTTTCTGGATGTTTTTGTTGTTATTCTGTCTCTCACTGTTCAAATAAACCTACCATTAAAATTATAGACTGATCATTTCTTTGTCAGTGGGCAAACGTACAAAATCAGCAGGGGATCAAATACTTTTTTCCCTCACTGTACATCATGCCTATATTAATGGAGCACGTGTGTGCTTAATGCAGTACATGATTCCTTGCACATGATGGTATTCTGTTTGATGGTTGGACATCTTACGCCACTGTTATATTGACAGAAAGGGTGAAACCTATGGGTCTCTGTGCGAGTCTATGGGGTCTCTGTGTGAGTCTATGGGTCTCTGTGCGAGTCTACGGGTTTCTGTGTGTGTCTGTGGGTCTCTGTGAGTCTATTGGTCTCTGTGTGAGTCTACGGGTCTCTGTGTGAGTCTATGGGTCTATGTGTGAGGCTATGGGTCTCTATGTGAGTCTATGGGTCTATGTGTGAGTCTACGGGTCTCTGTGTGAGTCTATGGGTCTCTGTGCGAGTCTACGGGTCTCTGTGTGAGTCTACGGGTCTCTGTGTGAGTCTATGCGTCTCTGTGCGAGTCTATGCGTCTCTGTGCGAGTCTATGGGCCTCTGTGCGAGTCTACGGGTCTCTGTGCGAGTCTATGGGTCTCTATGCGAGTCTACGGGTCTCTGTGTGAGTCTACGGGTCTCTGTGCGAGTCTACGGGTCTCTGTGCGAGTCTACGGGTCTCTGTGTTATTCTACGGGTCTCTTTGTGAGTCGAATATTTTAATACTGGCCAAGGGAGGTCCCATGATTTTGGACCGGTGTTTCTAGTTACCGGTGTACGGTGTTGTCGTGGCCACCTGTGGAGTTGATGGCACCACCGATGCGTCTGCGGTTGACATCAAACATCATTTGTTAAGGGGGGTAGTGGGGGGGGTGTCGATTCGCAGGCATCGTCGGCATTCCCAATCGTCCATATCATAGGGTGTTGTTGCTTACACGACACTATACCCCGCTACAAACTCCGCTACTACGCACCACACTATTATACGTTGCACTACTACAGTCTACACCATTATGCACTAATAAACACCACACTACTAGACACTACACTACTATAGTTTAACACGTAGGCTTTTGCGACCAATATCATCCATAATATAGAGGTTTTTTTGGGGGTTAGATGGCGTAAATATAAATACGTCGTTAAACCCGCCACCGCCCAACCACACAGACAATTAGTAACGGGGTTGTCATGTCAACAAGACGTGACAATTGGTTACTTAGCAATAGGTTTATACCCTTTCATCTGGCACAAAAACTGACACCTTTATACAAGGGATCATGTTTGCAATAACCACAACACAAGTCGTCAAAATGCAAACAAAAAGAGACAACTCTGATAATGATGGCACTGTCCTTGAATTTGATTGGTCCACACCAAAGACGGCTTTTCTTAGAGCCCTTTAGTCTCCACTGGTGTTGGACCAGAAGACGCCAAAAGGCGTACAACTCAAAAAGACAAGTCTTTTTTGCTTGAATTTCGACTGCTTGTGTTGTGGTTATTGCAAACATGATCCCTTGTATAAAGGTGTCAGTTTTTGTGCCAGATAACAGGGTAAAAACCTATTACTATATATTGTTACTGGCAAAGGAGGTCTCATAATGTAATTGGTTACTTAGTTCAGCACTAACCAGTGTGTATGTGTGTTGGAGAGTAAACCCAATACCACATTTACAATCAAGTTTTGTTCACGTGACAAACCCTTACTAATTGTAAGTGTTGTTAGTGGGTTTACTCCCCAAAACACACACACACCGGTTAGTGCTGGAGTAAATAAATAATTGACCACGCTCTGTTTACGTAACAGAACCCCTTACCGATTGGGCTGCCGTGCGTCGTGGTGGTGGCGGTGACGAGTTTATCGGGACACGTTTCACTTAGGCAATCTTACACCAAACAACCTTTTTTTATCATGCACCGTGCGTAAGATGACAGTCCGCTGACAGAAGAACGCCCGGCAAATCCAGCCCGCCTCCTCCCGTTTCCACAACAAACAAAAAAAATAAATCCCTCCCAAAAACCCCAACCACGCCGCGTCAAGTCACGGCCGGGGTCCACTCCCCTCACGTGCAGTCGAGTCCCCAAACCTCACGAGAGTCTCCGTCCGATTGTTTTTTTCCCATGCGGGGTAAGGACCCCCGCTGACTGAGCTGCTATTGTCAGTCGCTCTTTTTTTTATTCTTGAGAAAGAAGCAGCGAACCCGGCCACCGCAAGCGAGGAGCGGCTCAACGACGCGCGGCCTCATCATCATCCTTATCGTCGTCGTCATTGGCACGTGGAAATTTATATCAGCAGGCAAATGCTCTTAAACGCGCGGCGCTGATGCTGAGCGTGGAGGGGGAGGGGGGGGGAAACTGGAGGACCCGGAGAATGATCCTCGCGACCACCAAGCCGCGAGAGGGAGAGGTGCAAACTCCAAATACACAGCAGCAGCAGCAAGTGTCAAGGGTCGGGATCGAACCCACGACCTCCTGTATACCAGGAGAGGGAGTTAACATCGAATCTAGCCACCGTGAAGCTAGGGTCGAGATTGACCCCACGACCTCCTGTATACCAGGAGAGGGAGTTAACATCGAACCTAGCCACCGTGAAGCTAGGATCGAGATCGAACCCACGACCTCCTGTATACCAGGAGAGGGAGTTAACATCATACCCAGCCACCGTGAAGCTAGGGTCGAGATTGACCCCACGATCTCCTGTATACCAGGAGAGGGAGTTAACATCATACCCAGCCACCGTGAAGCTAGGGTCGAGATCGAACCCCACGATCTCCTCTACACCAGGAGAGGGAGTTAACATCGAACCTAGCCACCGTGCAGTTAGGGTCAGGATCGAAGCCGTGATCGCCGTGATACAAGACGAGGTAGTTAACATCTTCCTAGCCGCCGTGGCGCCCCGATCAAGTGCCGACTGGACGCGAGATGGGACTCTCCGCCGCGTTCAATTACTTTGGCACAGGGCGTGCGGCAGCAGGATGGACAGCAGCAGCAGCAGTGATTTGTCCATGGTTTTCCCGCTTGAGAAGCAGATGTCGCGACGGCTACACACGAGGCTTGATTTCTGGAAGGAAAAATAAAAAAAACACGCAGACGGCAAACAGCATCTTGATTTCAAGTTTTCGTGACTGCAGTGATTCATATTCAATATATATAACATATATATTTTATTCTTTCATTGTTTCCCTTCAACGTGACTTTACCAAAAGAGCTAAGATTATAGTAGTAGTGTAGTAGTAGTGTAGTAGTAGTGTAGTAGTAGTATAGTAGTAGTAATGTAGTAGTAGTAGTGTAGTAGTAGTGTAGTAGTAGTGTAGTAGTAGTATAGTAGTAGTGTAGTAGTAGTAGTGTAGTAGTAGTGTAGTAGTAGTGTACTAGTAGAATAGTAGTGTAGTAGTGATGGTAGTAGTATAGTAGTAGTGTAGTAGTAGTAGTATAGTAGTAGTAATGTAGTAGTAGTAGTGTAGTAGTGTAGTAGTGGTGTAGTAGTAGTGTAGTAGTAGCGTAGTAGTAGTGTAGTAGTGTAGTAGTAGTATAGTAGTAGTATAGTAGTGTAGTAGTAGTAGTGTAGTAGTAGTAGTAGCAGTGTACTAGTAGTGTAGTAGTATAGTAGTAGTATAGTAGTGTATTAGTAGTAGTGTAGCAGTAGTGTAGTAGTATAGTAGTAGTGTAGTAGTAGTGTAGTAGTGTAGTAGTAGGAGTGTAAATTTTGATTTAAAGCTTTCGTGACTGCAGTAATTCATATTCTTAGCTCTTTCGGTGAAGTCACGTTGCAGGGAAACAATAAAATAATAAAATATATATTAAACAATAAAATTCTCACGACGTTTTGACCATAACACAAACAGTCATCATCAGGTGATGATGACCGTTTGTGTTATGGTCATCATCAGGTGATGATGACCGTTTGTGTTATGGTCGAAACGTCGTGAGAATTTTATTGTTTTGTATATATTTTATTGTTTCCCTTCAACGTGACTTTACCGAAAGAGCTAAGATTATGGCAACAGCATCGTCATCATCGATACGAACACCAGGAAATCCAACGTGACCACCCAATGCCAATAGGTTTTTGCATGGATGTTGAACTTCTCCTTTGGCACCGCCGTACGTAGCTAAACCGTGGCTAATCGGAGGTGCGGGGTGAAGGACAACAAACTGTGGGTCTCTGTGTGAGTCTATGGGTCTCTGTGTGAGTCTATGGGTCTCTGTGTGAGTCTATGGGTCTCTGTGTGAGTCTATGGGTCTCTGTGTGAGGCTATGGGTCTCTGTGTGAGTCTACTGGTCTCTGTGTGAGTCTATGGGTCTCTCTGTGAGGCTATGGGTCTCTGTGTGAGTCTACTGGTCTCTGTGTGAGTCTATGGGTCTCTGTGTGAGGCTATGGGTCTCTGTGTGAGTCTACTGGTCTCTGTGTGAGTCTATGGGTCTCTGTGTGAGTCTATGGGTCTCTGTGTGAGTCTATGGGTCTCTGTGTGAGTCTATGGGTCACTGTGTGAGTCTATGGGTCTCTGTGTGAGTCTACGGGTCTCTGTGTGAGTCTATGGGTCTCTTTGTGAGTCTATGCGTCTCTGTGTGAGTCTACGGGTCTCTGTGTGAGTCTATGGGTTTCTGTGTGTGTCTGTGGGTCTCTGTGAGTCTATGGGTCTCTGTGTGAGTCTACGGCTCTCTGTGTGAGTCTACGGGTCTCTGTGTGAGTCTATGGGTCTATGTGTGAGGCTATGGGTCTCTGTGTGAGTCTACGGGTATCTGTGTGAGTCTATGAGTCTCTGTATCAGTCTATGGGTCTCTATGTGAGTCTATGGGTCTCTGTGTGAGTATATGGTATCTCTGTGTGTCTGTGGGTCTCTGTGAGTCTATGGGTCTCTGTGTGAGTCTATGGGTCTATGTGTGAGGCTATGGGTCTCTGTGTGAGTCTCTGGGTATCTGTGTAAGTCTATGGGTCTCTGTGTGAGTCTACGGCTCTCTGTGTGAGTCTACGGGTCTCTTTGTGAGTCTATGGGTCTATGTGTGAGACTATGGGTCTCTGTGTGAGTATATGGGTATCTTTGTGTGTCTGTGGGTCTCTGTGAGTCTATGGGTCTCTGTGTGAGTCTATGTGTCTCTATGTTAGTCTATGGATCTCTATATGAGTCTACGGGTCTCTGTGTGAGTCTATGGGTCTCTGTGTGAGTCTATGAGTCTCTGTGTTAGTCTATGTATGTATATTTAACTTATTTCGCACCGTACGTAGCCACTGATGATGGCTGTAGTCATGGTGTCTTGGAGATGTTAACAACCTCGCCTGGTGTTCAGGAGGTTAGTGGGTTCGATCCCGCATCCTGACGATGCCTGTAGCCATGGTGTCTTGGAGATGTTGACTATCTCTCATCATCACAGAATCAATGTCACGACGTGTTTGGAGTTATTTGCCTGCTGCTATTAATGGCCACATGACGATGATGACGATGATATCAGCCACTTCATTGGGCTATCCATAGCAGCCCGTGGGGTGGAGGCCTTAACCCACTGGTAAAATAAAAAAATATATATAGTACAGTCTATGTATCTCTATGTATCTTCATGTATCTCTGTGGGTCTCTATGTATCTCTGTGGGTCTCTATGTATCTCTATGGGTATCTATGTATTTCTATGCGTCTCAATGTATATCTGTGGGTCTTTATGTATCTCTATGGGTCTCTATGCATCTATATGTATCTCTATGTATCTCTATGGGTCTATATGCATTTTGTGTGGTCTCTATGTAACTCTATGGGTCTATATGTATGTCTATGGGTCTCTATGTATCTCTGTGGGTCTCTATGTATCTCTGTGGGTCTCTATGTATCTCTATGGGTATCTATGTATTTCTATGGGTCTCTATGCATCTCTGTGGGTCTTTATGTATCTCTATGGGTCTCTATGCATCTATATGTATCTCTATGGATCTATATGCATTGTGTGGTCTCTGTGTAACTCTATGGGTCTATATGTATCTCTGTGGGTCTCTATGTATCTCTGTGGGTCTCTATGTGTCTCCATGGGTATCTATGTATTTCTATTCTATGGGTCTGTATGCATTTTGTGTGGTCTCTATGTAACTCTATGGGTCTCTATGTATCTCTGTGGGTCTCTATGTATCTCTGTGGGTCTCTATGTATCTCTATGGGTCTATATGCATTTTGTGTGGTCTCTATGTAACTTTATGAGTCTATATGTATCTCTATGGGTCTCTATGTATCTCTGTGGGTCTCTATGTTTCTCTGTGGGTCTCTATGTATCTCTATGGGTATCTATGTATTTTTATGGGTCTCTATGCATCTCTGTGGGTCTTTACGTATCTCTATGGGTCTCTATGCATCTATATGTATCTCTATGTATCTCTATGGGTCTATATGCATATTGTGTAGTCTCTGTGCAATTCTATGGGTCTCTATGTATCTCTATGGGTCTCTATGTATCTCTATAGGTATCTATGTATCCCTATGGGTCTCTATGCATCTCTGTGGGTCTCTATGCATCGCTATGTATCCCTATGAGTCTCTATGCATCTCTATGCGGTCTCTATGGGCCTCTGTGAATCTCCACGGGTTTCTGGGTCTCTATGCATCTGTAATTTCCACGCTATCCACTCGTGATGGCCAGAGTCGCTGCGTCTGAAACAAAACAGCGCTTCGTCGCAGCAACTTCAGTAGGGTTGGAGGGCTTTTACCCGCTGGTAAAAAAATAATGAATAATTCTTTGGTTCTCTTCGGTAAAGTCGTGTTGTAAATACAAGTGGCCTTGTGTTGTGGCCGAAACGTCGTGATTTTTTTGTTGCTTTGTTGTTTTTTTTACCTGCGCGACTTTACCGAATAGAACCAAAGAGTGTGGATCCTTGCAGTCACGAAAGCTTCAAATCTGGAATCAATGAATAATTGTTGAGTTCAGTTTTATTTTTATAGATTTAACACTCAAAGATAATGGGCAGGGCAACTGGTCCGGAGCTCTCCGGTACCATGGAGATCTAACCTCCCGACGAAATGCATTGTCCCAGGGAAGCAAGAAATGCATGCAAGGTGGAACGAGATGACGTTTTGAGTGTAAAACGACCCCAAGTTAAAGCTGAGGTCAATACAGGACACGTTGGGCTACGCCATCTGACCGTGATAATGTCATAGCTTCCAACCCCTTATCAGTGCCCTGGCTTATCACAGACCAACTCAGAGCTTACTGGTCACCCTGTGCCCCCTTATGAATCTCAACGTTCATGCTATACAGTTCCGTCACAAGGGAGAAACACAAACAAAGAGACAACGTGACAAATTTTGATTTAAAGCGTTCGTAACTGCAGCGATTCATGTTCTTAGCTCTTTCGGTAAAGTCACGTTGAAGGGAAACAATAAAATAATAAAATATAACAAATATATATAACATATATATTTTGTTATTTTATTGTTTCCATTCAACGTGACTTTACCGAAAGAGCTAAGATTATAGTAGTGTAGTAGTAGTATAGTAGTAGTGTAGTAGTGATGGTAGTAGCAGTGTAGTAGTGATGGTAGTAGCAGTAGTAGTAGTGTAGTAGTAGTAGTGTAGTAGTGTAGTAGTAGTGTAGTAGTAGTGTAGTAGTAGTAGTGTAGTAGTAGTATAGTAGTAGTGTAGTAGTAGTATAGTAGTGATGGTAGTAGCAGTAGTAGTAGTGTAGTAGTAGTAGTGTAGTAGTGTAGTAGTGATGGTAGTAGCAGTAGTAGTAGTGTAGTAGTAGTATTGTAGTAGTGATGGTAGTAGCAGTAGTGAGTAGTGTAGTAGTAGTAGTGTAGTAGTGTAGTAGTAGTGTAGTGTAGTAGTAGTGTAGTAGTAGTAGTGTAGTAGTAGTATAGTAGTAGTGTAGTAGTAGTAGTGTAGAAGTGATGGTAGTAGTAGTAGTGTAGTAGTGTAGTAGTGATGGTAGTAGCAGTAGTAGTAATAGTGTAGTAGTGTAGTAGTAGTGTAGTAGTAGTGTAGTAGTAGTGTAGTAGTAGTATAGTAGTAGTGTAGTAGTAGTGCAGTAGTGATGGTAGTAGCAGTAGTAGTAGTGTAGTAGTAGTGTAGTAGTGATGGTAGTAGTGTAGTAGTAGTAGTGTAGTAGTGATGGTAGTAGTAGTGTAGTAGTAGTGTAGTAGTAGTGTAGTAGTAGTGTAGTAGTGATGGTAGTAGTGTAGTAGTAGTAGTGTAGTAGTGATGGTAGTAGTGTAGTAGTAGTGTAGTAGTAGTGTAGTAGTAGTATAGTAGTGATGGTAGTAGCAGTAGTGTAGTAGTAGGAGTGTAAAATTTGATTTAAAGCTTTCGTGACTGCGGTAATTCATATTCTTAGCTCTTTCGGTAAAGTCACTTTGAAGGGAAACAATAAAATAATAAAATATATATAAAACAATACAAATTCTCACAACGTTTCGACTGCAACACAAGCGGTCAACATCAGGTGTGAAAACCAACGGCAAGAAACATTTGAAAGAAGTGGCGGTTTGTATTAATTTATTTTTAAAAGGTGTTTGCCCTTTGATTTAAAGCTTTCGTGACTGCAGTAATTCATATTCTTAGTTTTTTCGGTAAAGTCACGTTGAAGAGAAACAACAAAATAACAAAATATATATAAAACAATAAAAAATTCTCACGACGTTTCGACCATAACTCAAACGGTCATCATCAGGTATATATATATTTTGTTATTTTGTTGTTTCTCTTCAACGTGACTTTACCGAAAAAACTAAGAATATAGGTGTTTGCCCGTTTTATTTATTTATTTATTTTGGAAAAAACGCACTGCTTTATATATTTCATTATTTTATTGTTTCCCTTCAACGTGACTTTACCGAAAGAGCTAAGAATATAAATAGACACGTCATTATTTTTTTTATTGGCCGTGTTTGAAACGGCCGTACCCCGTATGGCTTGCGACAGGTATGAAATTCTCGAAGGACGTTCTTAACGCTCAGGAATGCCTCTCACGTTTGTACTTGCACGTAGGCTTTCCCCTACCCCCCCCCCCTACGCTGCCTTGGTCAGGCCGCTGTCGTGTGGCTCCACGGACTTCACTCGGACGGATTCTTTGTGCACGCATAATATTAGTCGCTTTACCCGAGGGATAACCCATACCAAACGGTTAACGAATTGGCACCGCGTTCTGTTTGCGTGGCAAACCCCGTTACTGACTGGCTGCGTGGTCGACTGGTGGCGGGTTTAATGACGCGTAAAATGTTTACGCGATTTATATTAAAAAAATAACTATATTATGGATGATATTCGTTGCGAGAGCCTACATGTTAAACTGGTGGGTTTTCGTTGTGATTTATTTGACATTGTCATCCTCTCAGCCGACAAGGGCAATGCCACTATCATCATGGAGAAAATATAATATAACAACAACATTCAAGAATTACTCAACGATGGCAGCTATACAAAATAAAAAGAGATCCCACCAACATCCTCGTCATACAAACCAACAAAATAATTTCTGATTCAACCGCATTAATTGATCAATCTAAACAGTTCTCGTTGAAACCTTCTGCTGCCAGGCCACCAAGATTATATGGCTTACCAAAAATACATAAAGTAGATACACCCCTTCGTCCCATCGTCTCTACTATCAACTCCCCCACCTACAAACTAGCTCGCTTTCTGTCTGAAATCCTGCGTCCTTTCACTGGAAAAAACTACCTCAGCAGTACAAAATTCTACTCACCTGGTATCGACAATCAAGGGTATTTCCTTGTCCCCAGACGACCTGCTTGTCAGTTTTGATGTAGTTTCCTTATTCACCAAAGTTCCTTTACCTGACACCATCGCAATCATTGAAGACTTGGTTCATCAAGAACTAAACATTGAGGTGCCCTCCCTGGTGAGACACTGCTTAACCAATACATACTTCACTTGGAATGGAACTTTCTACAAACAAACTGAGGGCACCCCAATGGACTCCCCCCTATCTCTGGTTGTAGCCAACATTTTCATGGAGAAATTTGAGACTGACGCCATCCAGACTGCCACTCTGCGCCCAACCTTATGGAAGAGGTACGTGGATGACACTTTTGTCATCTGGCCACATGGCCGGCCTGCTCTAGATCAATTCCTCGACCACATCAATTCCATACACCCAGCCATCAGGTTTACCATGGAAGTCGAAAAAGATGGCAAGCTACCTTTTTTGGATGTCCTAATAAAAAAGAGACCTGATGGTTCAATGAGCCACTCTGTCTACAGGAAAGCTACCCATACGGATGCTTACTTAAAACCGGATTCCCACCACCATCCATCCCAGAAGAACTCCCTCATCAAGACCCTGCACCATAGAGCCCAATGCATATCCGACCAGGAACACATAGCCAGTGAACTCAAGCACGTACACCAAGCTCTTAAGGCTAATGGTTACTCCGACAATACAATCCGCAAAGCTATCACTCCGACCATGAAGAAGGACCCTCTTGAGGAACCTTTCAAAACCATCACTTTACCTTACATTGCGGGGATCACAAAAAAGATCTCCAAAATCTTGAATAAACACAAGATCCAGGTCCGATTCAACACATTACATAAAATCCGTGATCTGGTTCCGTCTATAAAAGATCTGATTCCAGACATACAGTACTCTGGCGTCTACAAACTAAGTTGCCTCTGTGGTAGTAGTCACATTGGAGAAACCAAACTACATGTCTCGGACCGCATTCGTGAACACAAAGCAGACCTGAAACACGGTAGGACCAACACCTCGGCCGTGGCAGATCACTATAATAATTCAGTAGGCTCACATGACATTGACTTCTCCAAAACGGAGGTTCTTTGCAAGCCATCTGGCTACCATGAGAGATTCGTTCATGAGGCTGTCCACATATACAAACACAGAGACAATTTCAACCGAGAAGATGGATTCTGGCTTAGCAATCATTGGAAGGATTTAATAAACCATTTCGGGTCTTTAATGATTGTTCACGCTTAAGGTCTCTTTCAGACCGCATCCATTATTTTTCATCTCCCCCCCTCCTCTTTTCCGAACATAGATGGACTCGTCCATCTGAACAAACTGTCAAATCGCTCTCCGTGGTGCTAACGTTAAAAAAAACGCCACTTTTCTCAAATTTTCCTGTTGTGGTTTTCACACCTGATGATGACTGCTTGTGTTGCAGTCGAAACGTCGTGAGAATTTTATCGTTTTATATTTTTATTATGTTACTGTTTCCCTTCTAACGTGGTGGTGACTTTACCGAAAGAACCAAGAAAAATGAGGCGACAATTAACACGTTGTGTTCACGTGGCAAACCCCTTACTAATTGGCTGCGTGAACATTTGACGTGTGAGTTGCACAATACTTGCGGCGAGCTAGACACAGACAAAGACTGCCCGTGTCAACAATGCGGAAGGGGTAGAGGCGTTAACGTGTTCATGATCAGCAGGCGGCTCGTTTCGCAATGGAAATTTGAGGGAGGGGAAAAAATATCTATTTTAAGTTTTATTTTAAGGCCAACATAGACTCGCACAGATGCCCCTAAGGTCGACTCAGCTTCGTACGAATACCTGGTGCAGTGGTGCGTGTAGTAAACATTGCTACAACTGGGGGTGGTGGGAATGTCCACCCCCTCTTGTTTCACAGTGCCAGCCTCCACAGGCACTGTGAGCTACTAGCAGCACTTGTCCCCAACAGTCTGTCAAGGGCTACACAGGGGTAAACGTATTACCCACCGATACACCAGGTTACTCATTTGAGACCGAGTTCGACCTTTGGAACGTACGGTGAGAAAGACGTTCAACATACGTACATATCACGGCATTGTCAACGGCATATCAATGCGGAGCAAGCTTGGCAACAACAGCAACAAAAACAGCGAGTTCACGGAATGAGTGGCTTAAGTTTGGCGATGTAAGAACACGCTACCTCAACCACGCACCCACCCACCAGGGCTGTGCTATCCAATAGGCTAGAGTCGCAGGCACTGTGCCTATAGGTGCCTGCTCACTCACCCACTCACTCACCCAGCCACTCACCCACCCACTCACCCACTCACCCAGCCACCCACTCAGCCACTCACCCATTCACCCACTCACTCACTCACCCACTCACTCACCCAGCCACCCACCCACTCACTCACCGAATTACTCACTGACCCAGCTACCCACTCCTTCACCCACCCACTCACCCACTCA